ACTAATTACCCCCTTTTTTCAAAATTTTCTAGTAAGAGCTCTCCTGGCACTGCATTCTCATTTTAAGAACATATTAAAAATGTCTTCCAATTTTTCTCTTACTGCGAAGATGAGCTCCTTCAACAATTATATTGCGAGTGTTTCTAATCGTGATCGTGTGTTGTCTGTTTTACAGTACACTGCGATGTCTCTTTACGAACCTATTGCAGCATCTGGTTGCCCTACTCTGTCCGCCAATTTCAAGCTCATTCATGACCTCTGCAGTCAATACCGTGCTATCACTCGCTTTTCGCAATGGTTTGTAGTTCTTCCACAGCTTACCCCACAGGGTATCTATGACACAATCAAGTCTAATCCGACTCCTCTGATTGGGATACTTAAGACAATTTCAACTGCATTTTTCACGGTTTTTCTCTTTGGTGAAGAGGTCTGTCTTTTTGCCAAGAATAAGATGGTAAAGCCCGAGATTGGGAAGAAGTTCAATCGAATCCGTTTTGTATTTCTCTTTTGGTCTAATGTGGCTCGTCTTATCATGAATTACCTGCTGCTTAAGCGTGGCACAGAGGGTGTCATCAAAGATTCTAAGAAACGTGACGAACACCGGCGTAAGGTGCTTAATGTTGCCGATGGAATTCTTATGACTCTGTTCGCTTATGGATTATTGAAGCATTCTGCTGCCACAGGGCTGAGGGGCCTTCCAAAAGCTATCAAATCAGGAGACTTGGTTGGCATTATCACAAGTTTTGCTCCCCCTGTGGAGCTTCACAACACACCGCACGGGATTTTGGGCGTTGTTGCATCAGTTCCTGGGTTTATGTTGAGTTTTATGCAGTAAATCTGTTGTTTCTTAAAAAAATATTATTTTCGGCAATATATATGCTGGATTAGAAGAGTATAATTTAAAGTTGTTTAATGAAGACTTGAGGAGGCGATATATAAGGTGATGAGAAACTTGGGACGACTCCAGTCTACTTTTCGCGTATTTTGATAGGGTAAAATTTTAGTTAAGGTTTTATATTTTTATGCTCCACCTGTGCAGAATCGTGTAGTCTGATAGCTATAGCAGGAAAACCCATCTAACTTCCACTTGTAAGTGTAAGCCTTGACAAATAATGAAATCTGATGTTATGGATGGGATAAGAAGGAATATCGTCTTGTTTTAATCGAAGGAGAGACATATGATGTATTATGAAATTCAAACCCATAGGAAAATAATTTTTGGCGCCTATAACTGAACGAGCATTTAAAACATCTAGTTTTTGTTATGCGCGTGTACTTTACCCTTTTTCTTTAAGGATCACTCAGAAAGTGACAATTAATTGTAAATAAAAATTCGTATTTATTTCCTAAAACATATATCATAAAGTCTTTCTTAATCATAAGCAGCATTTACACAGGATCTTAACCACTTTCATTAGACAATTAGGGCTATTTTTGCCTTTATCGAACCCCACCTATGATATACTACACTGATCCATTTGTATTTTCCAATCATCATTCTTTTCATTCCGCTATTTAATAGCCTTCTTTCTCTCAGTGTTACACTATTACGCAAAGAGTTCAAAAAAATTGAATAATTGTAAAATTTTTATCTAAACATTTCACAATTTTTGTTTTTTTGAATACTCAAACATCATATCTGGTTCGAATTGCGTTGATAACGATAAGGTATAGGTTTCCTTCCGTCATTTTAGTGGCATTCGCAGACATACACCTACACCTTCACTTTCGGTAAGGGGAAGGGACGAAGCGAAGAGATCAATATAAGCGAGTAAAACCAGATAGATCTATACTTGCCATTTTAAGGGTCCTTTCTGAGTAAATTAGACTTGTGCCATTGACTATTGACAATACTAGTGGATGTTTCGTCACCTGAAGCCATCTTTATTTCTACGAAGGGCGGTAGGTAGTGTCACAACAATAATCACTACCGCGAACGGCTGCAAAACAGCACTTTGTATAGATGGTGTGGCGTCTTCCCAGGGTATCTCTGGGCTATTTACTCAGAAGTACGGCTACGCTAGCAAAAGCAAGGACTACTATGAGACACTTGGAGTAGATCGTAACGCCGATGCAAAAACTATTAAAAAGGCTTATCGAAAGCGAGCCCTAGAAACCCATCCTGATCAGGGAGGTAATAAAGAAGAATTTGCTGAGGTTGCTGAAGCTTACGAGGTGCTGAGCAACGCTGAGAGAAAAAATATTTATGACCAATACGGGTCCGAAGCTGCTAACAATCCGAACATGGCTGGTGGCTTTTCTGGTGGCCGCTCGGCTGAAGATATATTTGCTGAGTTCTTCAAGGGAAATATGGGTATGGGTGGCTTTGGTGACATATTCAGGGGTAGTGCCGGTGCGAATCGAGGGCCTCCCACAGTAGAGCCGATAGAGGTGAGATTACGCCTTACCCTTGAAGAGATTTATACCGGTGTGACCAAAACTATTCGTGTGACGCGACCTCAGATTTGTTCTGAGTGTGCTGGCTTTGGAACAAAGAGTAAGACTGAAAAGCCAAAATGTTCACACTGCAACGGTCAGGGCCACGTAGTTCATCAACACCGCATGGGCCCTGGCATGATTCAACAATCCATCTCGGAATGTCCGCGGTGCCACGGCACTGGAACCCTTGCGAAGTCCGACGATCAGTGTCATAAGTGCCATGGAAAAGGCTACCGGAATCTTGCCCAGGATGTTACCGTTAACGTTCCTGCAGGGATTCCATCCAACGTCACTATGGTTGTTCGCGGTGAGGGTGGCTCAATCCCGGGTGCCCAGGACGGTGATCTGCATCTTCACGTGGAAGTGAGCCCACACCGAGTTTTCCAGCGTCGCGGTGATGACCTCATTGTTCGAAAAGAAGTCACACTTGCAGAGGCGCTGCTGGGAATGCGCATACCTCTGAAACTCCTGGATGGTCGCATGGTCAATGTTGAGACGCCCTCCGACAGTGTACTAAAACACAACGGGGTAATCAAGCTCACAGGGGAGGGGTTGCCGAGTAACACCGGCGGTCGCGGTGACATTTTTGTCTTTATTCAACTCAAGATGCCTGAAAAGTTATCCTCTGAACAAAAAGAACATATTAAGAAGGCACTAGGTGCGCCACGTGTAGATGTCAATGCATCCCAAGGGAACACCATAAAGGCACGGGTACTGCGCGAATCCCAAGAGCAGCTGGAAGAACAGAAGCGGGGCGTTTGGGAGGCCCGTGAAAGTGGGAGACACGGTGAAGGTGATGGTCGCCGGCGCAGCAGCGGTTCAAGGGGAGGTCAGCATGTAGAGCAATGCACAGCACAGTAGATCATCAAAAGGGAAAATGAGATGAGGAAAAAGTGAGGGAAGAATAAGATACTTAACCAAACTTTTCGTATTCAACAGACGCTGAAGAGGAGAATTATACAGTATATTATCATTATTTTGATATTCTTTGTGATAAGCTCTTCGATTATTCGGCTTCGCTAGATTCTTACCATCCAAATTCTTTTCAGCCCATGATGCTTGGGATTCATTTCCTAATGAAGATCTTATGCCAAATCTGACAAAACTTTAAGTACTGATGCGTGTAAGTTCACATCTGATTTACTGTCTCCGTTATTACTTCACAGACATAATCTATCCCGTTAATTTTTATTTAATATATTGGGTTAAATACTAAATGCATTACTTGAAGCAATGGGGTATAAATTTTCCTCGTAGTACATATTTTAGAAGAAGTATTTGCAATCCAATATATATATATATATACTGCAGTAATAACAAATCGAATGCATGTAGTATTCGCATTTATGGTAACAAATCGTAAAATAACTATTGAATAGAAGAAATAAGCAAAAGCCTTATTCCATGTTGTTGAGTTTATAAATTATGAAAATATTTCTTTAACAGTGTTTCTTTTCCGATATTGTGTGTAAAATAAAGAGATATAGCTATGGATTCATGTGTAGTTTATCAGGCTTCAAGCCGGATATACGCAAAATAGAGGAGCCACAATACCTAAGAAAGAGCCATATTAATAGGCACCCATACAGTTTCTTCTATGATTAAGGAAACCTCAATAGGACGGTCCTTGAATTTGCAATTTTCCTCAATCCCCATAGCACATGGGCCTGAGTATTATGGCTTTCGCGCAGACATATATATATATATCTAATATTGGTGATGTATGAATCATACCATATCACTTTTGGCAGACTTTCTAAATGCTACCAATGCGTGTTAAGCAAGCTTTTGAGTAGAGAAGGGCTTCTCGAAGCCATATAAGTTAATAAAGGGGTGATAAGATGATACAAATGTCTGGGGATGCGTCTTAGATATGAAAAGTGGAGTACAGAATAGTAACTTTGGTCGCCAAATCGCGGTTGCAGTTAGCGTCACACTATTTCCTTTTATCGAGCTGCCTAAGAATTCTAAACCAGTTTTTTGATAGTTGTATATGCGGTTAGCTCTATCAGTGAATTAGATGCAGTGAGTACATGTATTTCATTTTCAATTGACAATGTTAATGGCCATGAGTTCTCCGTACTTTCATCTTCTTTTAAATGCGGCATTCTGTTGGTATTCGGCTTTTTCCGCAGAAAATGTCGTCTTGCAGACTTTACATACAGTAGTAAAACTGCGATAAGTTTCTTATACTGGGAGCACAGGAGATGAGGTTATTTCCTCTTAAAATATTAATATTTTCATGGGGGACAGCTCATATATGTTTACATATGGTCGCTTGAAGTCATCACTGTCTAGACGGTTGGATAGTTCAGTATTGAATTCATCTTCCTCAATCTTGCCTTGCTGTTATGCTTTTTCTTTAATGTTCTTCGAAGCTGCCATTTATTTTTTTACTAAATAAATATTCACATCTTATGATTACTTTTTCTCATTAGAATTAAAAATTTATTGTAATAGAGGCAACGACTTTAGGTATACATTTGTGCACGGGAAATACTGAAATATTCATTTTTTTTTTCTGAAGGTTTGAAGTGTAAATTTTTGAACAAGCAGTTCAGAAAATTAAAGAAATATACGATATGCGTTCATTATATTCCCTCCGTTATTGCTCACTTATTTCATCCGCAGCTCTTTCTGTGGCATCCCGATCAATCTACAGCAAGCTTGTCGAGGATCACTACAGTAACCCAAGAAATGTTGGAAAACTTGATAAGAACGATCCTAATGTTGGCACTGGACTTCGCGGGGCTCCGGAATGTGGGGACATGACTCAAATGCAAATAAAGGTAAACCCCGAAACGCTTGTTGTAGAAGATGTAAAGTTTAAGGCCTTTGGCTGTGGCAGTGCAATAGCCGCTTCTTCATATGCTTCGCAAGCGATACGTGGTAAAAGTGTGGCGGATGCATTAAAATTGACGAATAAACAAATTGCACAGGAGTTGTCATTGCCACCCGTAAAGCTGCACTGTTCCATGTTAGCCGAGGAGACTATCAATGCGGCAGTCGAGAATTACCTTTCTAAGAATCCGACCTTGAAGAGTAAGATGAAGAGGGACAGCATCGCAAACGCAGAAAAGGGCAATAAGCATTAAGAGAACAGTCGAAACGAAGTTAAGACCTCCCTTATTGTTTTTGTTTGATTTCCATTTCCTTACGTGATTTTCTGCATCAGAATTATAGTTTTAAAAATTCACCACTACAGTTGCTATATGCAATAATTTTTGTACGCATTTTTGCATTTTAAAAGTCTTCGCATAATATGCTTTATTATTTAGTCAGCTCCATGATTTTTCACATTTTTTGGATGTTTTATTGTTTTGTATTGCCCTTAATTTACTTACATTGAATGATCATAATTGAAGGATAAATATCTGTAGTGCCAAGTGCTGACTTGATCCGCATTATGCTATCATTTCTAATTAGGCACTACAAGTATTCTTTAAGCACGATGGAGTTGATATATTTATACACATTAAAAAAAGGAAAAATGGACGAAAAGGACCAATGAAAATAACAGAAGGCACAATATATGTGCTTTCTACTTAAATCTAATATATAATTTTTTTCATGAAAAATCGTATTTTACTCACTATGCATGCTTTTGCTTTACTCCTGTGTACCTACTGTAGTATAATAACCGTCGAAATTAGGTTAGTTTTTTTATGATATCAGTGAAGTCTTGAATGAGCTAATTAAACTTGTTGATTTTTAAAATGCTGTTTTGGCTTGTGGATTGCAATACGCAATGTCTATATGTATGTATGTATGTATGTGTGTGTGTGATTAATGCTTTTGTGCTTATGTTTTAATATTCTCACTTACTCCATATGATAAAGAAGGGGAAATAAGTCCGGTTTAACTTTTGTGAGACCACTCTGTTATTCAAGATATTATGGCAGTTGTTTTGCACACTACTTACGGTGATTTGCCAATTTTACTGAACTTTACAGAATGCCCCAGAACGTGCTACAACTTTCTGGCACTGTGTGCGTCGGGGTACTACAATAAATGTCGCTTTTACCGCCACATACCCGGTGTACTACTACAAACTGGCGACCCTATCAACAGCGGAAAGGGTGGAAGCTCAATTTTTGCACGCTATCCAGCGACCGCTTCTTCTTCCGTACCTACAGATTCTGAAACTGGTAGCGGCAACCCCAGAAAGACCGGATTAGTTTCAATAAATGCACCTCAGTCTTTTTTTGAGGATGAGGGGTTCGGTTTAACTTTTCATAGAGCACGCGGTGTGCTCTCAATGGCACACAAGGGCGCTAGAGGGGACACTAATGCTTCTCAATTCTTTATTCTTTCGGCTCCGCAACCCGGTTTTGATGGCATGTATACGGCCTTTGGACAGATAGATTTACTTGGCTGCTATAATTCACAGATACGACAAGTAGTGGATGGAAATTCTTCTTCGTCCTTAAGGTCTGGGGAGGACGTACTAAAGCTTTTGGAAGACTCTGCAAAGGCGAATGATAAATATATAGTCAATGAAAACAATAGTGTCTGCATCATCGATACAACGGTACTGTACAATCCCTTTGCTGAAGGCTCCTTGCTTGCCTAAATGCATCATACAAAGGAATGCATTGTGATTTTTTTTAGTGCGATACCGTCGATTCTGTAATGTAATAAGGGGTACCAAACGAGTAGAAGAACAGATAAGATCAAAAATTCCATTGACCTTGAGATTTTCCTCCATTTAGTTGTTGTTATTCCTCAGAAGCCTACTTTTAGCAATTAGTGTTGCGTATGCTAATGAATAATTGCCGTTAATAAATTATAAGTTACATGGACCAATGCAAAAGGCCGCGCTCCCCACTGCGTCCGCCGATTGTTAAGGACTACAGGCCCTACACCGGGCGGCAGCTCGTACATCGTCTACCCTTTGTCGAAGACTTCAAACACAATATACACAAAAGTAGCTGGGATCTGTTCTACCGCAACAATACTATCAACGGCTTCAAGGATCGAAATTATATTCTCCGCGAGTTTGTAGAGTTGCGTGAAGCTATTATGGGGTCCAGTAGTGCTGAACAAGCAGCGATATCCGCAGATGTGGAGCTTCACTCATTTTCAGGAGCGACTTCGCTCCCACACAGCTGTGAGAAGACTAATCTCAAGCCCTTTTCCTGGATGGAAGCGGGATGCGGTGTAGGCAACGCTATGCTCCCCATATTCAAACAATTTGGACATTTATCACACTGGCGCTTACTCCTAGGATTTGATATTTCTAAGGTCGCCATTAAACTGTTGAATGATAAAAAAGCGTCCCTACCTCGGGCTTTGCAGGAAAAACTTCATGTCTTTGAATTGAATCCATGTGAGCAACGAATTGCAGAGGGTATTTTCCCTTCTCCTTCTCCTTCCGGTGACACCAACGCCCACTCATCGACAGACTTCTCTAATTTCCTGTTTAACCCAATTGTGAACTTTGTTTCAATGATATTTGTGCTAAGCTCCATACCAGTATCTCTCCACGCCACAGTTCTAAGGCGTATCGCGGAGTCTATGGTTCGCCCCGGTGGTATTTTTTTCTTTCGTGATTATGCTCGATCTGACCTCGCAGAGAAGCGCTTTCAGTCTCGCAAGCAAGGTGCAATCGACACCCTAATGGAAGGCAGAAACTACGTTGATGACAAATTTAGTGAAAAAACGGAGTTAAGCATCTTTACACGAACCAATGGCACGCTAAGTCATTTCTTTTCCAAGGAGGAGCTTGAGAAGTTATTTACATCCGTTGGATTTAGTGTAATTGAGATACGCGAGGTGAACCGTGAGGTAACGAATCGTAAGGCGGCACTTTGTTTGTCACGTAAATTTCTCCAGGGACGATTTCGTCTTGAAAAGATAGACATTTGAACTTTTCACTCACTGCGGCCTATGTTTTTTTGTGCAAGGATGTTTTCTACATACAATGCGAGATCACCGATAACAACTCGTTTTTTAAGGCCAATACATGCATGAACCAAGTCTTATAAAGAAAAAATGCCATGATGCTGCTCTTTTTCCTCTTCACATGACGAGATCCACTTTTTTTTCCCGTACTCCTTTCTACCTTTCCTGATATTCTTAAATATATTAATATAAATAGATAAATAAACATAAATGTATTATGCAAATGGATTTATGAGTATCCTATTCATGGTTTGCCTATTCAACTCTATACATTGTGATGGGCGTTCATGGACTCTGGCGACTTTTAGACACCTTTGGTGAGGTGACACAGCCGGAAATGTGGAGTGGCTGCCGTGTAGCCATTGACGCCAGTATTTGGATAGCCCAATTCCGGTCCCAGGCGCCTTCCGAAGATGCGAGTAACAGAATAATCCAAGGGTTTTTCCTTCGTATACTCAAACTATTGTTTTACGGCATCGAACCCATTTTTGTGTTCGATGGGCCTACGTCCGCTCTCAAGGCCAAAGAGCACCGTCGGCGGCAAACATTACGTGGGGTTTTCGAGCAGTCGTTGCTGAAGCGTCGTGCGCATCAAATCGTTTCCGCTCTTGCTTCGTCGGGCCATCTAGATGTAACTCGTTTAAAACGTAGAGAGACCAATGAAAGGTTACCGGAACCCCTAGAGGCACAAGGTCAGGAGTCGGGTATGAAAGCTAAGAATGTCGCTCTTTTGCACACTGATTGCCGAAAGATCCGCACTGAAGCTTCATTTGGCCATAAAAAGGATGAATCCGTCTTTACCGGAAACCTGTGCGGCACCATTGCTCCACGTAGCAAATCTCATCATCGCAAACAGTGCAATTTAATCCCGGAAGAAATTTCCAAGGTAACGATGCTGTCTTTCCTCAATGAAGCTGAGGATTTAATTGGGCAGCGTAAGAAAGGTGAGCGGTGCGTTTTGAACAACTCCTTGAGGTACAGTAGTTCCTCCCTTTTTATGGGTCCAAGATTTGCGCTTCTTTCTGAAGGCCAGCGAAGTCATCCAGGGTCTTTAGAAGCCCTTGATTGCACGACTCCTGAGATCACGATCGTGGATGGCATCAGCCCACATCGCTACCATAGTGATGTTGTATTGGTTGATACAGATGATGAGTTTCATGATGCATCGTCGGTCGTGCTGACAATAAGCTCTTCATATGAAGAAAGCAGTGAAGGGTCCCTTGTGCAGCCGTCGGCGGATGCTGGCGTGTGCAAAGAGCAGAAAAATCTTTCTAGCACCAGTGTCAGTATTCCGCACAAACGGTGCCGTTATGAGTCTCTAAAGAGAGCCCTTATGAAGCAGTCCCCCGAAGCTTCCCGTCCAGATGGAAAATTTTTGGAACCTGGGAAGAACAAATTGAGTCCACAAGTTCTGTCTCTTGATGATTCTATCGTGAGCAACGAAAATCTGTTAGAATCCTCTACATCCATCAGCTCCAGCTTTTATGCTTCTTACTGTAGAGACAGTGACGATGATTTTAGTGTAGCAAAAGGAAAGCACGAGGCAGGTTTTGTATGGGATCCTAGTACGCAGCGACAGTACGAACGACTAGAAAACGTTTTTGAGGTGTCGCCGCACTCAACCCCGCTAAGCAAAGCCAAAGACGACGACATGAGTTCAACCCCCCAAAATGATTTAATACCGATTAATCTACCCTCGTATGGGAGGGTATTTAGCGGATCTAACGCGGTTTTAGAGGGTAACGATTCTCATGAGTGGATGTCTTCCTGGCTGACGGCCACGTCCGAAGGGGACGTGGGAGGGGAAGCCGAAGTCTGGGCTCGAGACCTGTCCGATTCTGCACGCTCAGCATTTCTCACCAAAGGGATCCCTGGGTACCAGAGCAAGGTGATCCAGAGAGGTGTGTCATTCAACAGGGAACAATTCACGCTACCCCATTTTCCACTCCCCACAACGGTGCCGCACCAGCAGGGCGATCCTCTATCCAACCCACCGATTGCTGGTGGCGGTGTCTGTGGCGATCGTTACAAGCGGGCGGTGCCCTTTGAACTTCTAGAGATTGTGAATCTTCTCATGTGCTTTCAGATCCCGTATGTTATCAGCCCCTCCGAGGCGGATGCACAGTGTGCGTATCTGGCCTGTAATGGCTTGGTGGATGCAGTATTTACTGAGGATAGCGATGTGATAGTGCATGGCGCGCTTGTGGTTCTCCGTGGCTTCTTTTCGTCAAATAAGAATGTTGTGGCATACCGACAGGCAGAGCTTGAGGCCTGTGGGATTGACAAACGCGTTCTTGTTGCGCTTGCCCTTCTCGTAGGTTGTGACTACACAGAAGGTATCCCAGGTTTAGGTCTGAGCGGTGCCCTGGAGGCCCTTGTTGCCTCCTGGCTTCCCATTAGGCACGATGAAAATGAAAGGACAAATGACACACGTGATGACATAGCCTTTATTATCAACACCCTTTTCCGCTGGAAGTCGTTGGTAAAGAAGATGCCTACTTCATGGTCAGATGCGGGTGATAATGACTTGTCTCTCCTACAGCTCCTGCTTTTTCAAAGAAACAAGTCGTCTTGGAGTTGCTTGCACCTGCCGGAGGCATTCCCAAAGCACAGCGTTGCGGAGGCCTTTTATGAGCCTCTTGTAGATCCCGACCGCACGCCTTTTCTAGCTCCGAACCCACAGTGGCAACAGGTGTGGCGCTATGCTGCAGAGAACGGGTTGCTGGAATCTTCCTGGGTGCGACAACGTCTTGAACTGGCACAGAAAGGATGGAGCCGCAGAAGGGAGCGGGGCACCGTCCTAATCGAAAGTGGAGAGTCGAGGGCTCGTCAACGTCATCTAGAAGAGTTTGGCATGAAGACAAGAATCGGAGAACGGTGGGCATATAAGAAACAACCATTGCGGTGGTCTACAGTGCTGGCCCAACTCCGAGACATTAAAAAGCTCCGCATCGACACTGAGCGATGAGCAGCTCCTTCGTGGTATAGCGTTTATACGAGAAGGAAAATAAGACAAATTAGCTACTCCAAGGGTCAGTGCGGCTCACCGCTTCATCACTTTTCAGAAACGTATTTGTTGCTTAGGGGGTGACCTTTTTTTAAATTTTTAATTGCAGGTGATATAACGAAGGGTAAGGGTGCGATTCAAGGGATTATTTTGCCATAATTCTTTGCATTTCTAATTGGAAGATGGTGATTCTAATAATGAAATTTCTATAGAAGCTCTAAGTATATACCGATGAGAAAAATGTCCCTGTACGATTTCTCCCTTTGCTTTCGCTGCTGAACGTGGCTGCATCTCTAAATCCTTTAAGCAGCTGATTTAATTAGTTGCAATACCACCAACAGTTCACACAAAGGCTACTATAATTATACTTTTTCCAGTTAGTTGTATGCCTTTTTCATTTGCTTTTATGTTTCCATCTTTTTTTTTATAAGAGTGTCACTTAATGAATAATAGAAGCTCAAGAAACCGCCCGCAATCACCCGCTGATGAACTTGGGCTTGGACATATTGATGCGAGTTCCACTTCACATGATCTGCCTACAAATAGTAACAAGAGCATTGTGTGGATTGTAAAGAAAATTGTTTTGGCAAGCATTCCTCTCGGTTTTGCAGCGGTGTCCCAAATCTCCATTGGAGCACTTTCGGTGGCAACAGTGGGCAGAATGGTTGGGGTTACGCAACTTGGCGCCACTTCACTTGCCTTTGGACTCATAAATGCCACTTCATTCGCCTTCGGATCGGGATTTTCAGGAGCTCTTGAAACGGTTCTTTCTTCTTCCTACGGCAGGAACCCTACCAACAAGCTCTATGGAATTTATGCGCAGCGTATGGTGCTTCTTTTGTTAGCCACTGCTTTTTTCATCGGGCCTATTCTTGCTTTTAGCGATAGCTTGTTGATTGCCATTGGGCAAAATCCTCAAGTATCCTACTACACGGGTGTTTTTCTTCGAGTAGCAATTTTCGGAACATATCCGATGATGATATTGGAGGTCGTTCGGCGCTACTATGCTTGTCAACATCTCAACAGCTCCTTGTCTGTCTCTATGATCCTAAATGCCCTTCTGTTTTTCTTGGTATTATGGACGTGCATTAAGTTGTTTGGATTTATAGGCGCAGCCATTGCATGGAATTTTCTTATGGTGTTTATTCCACTATCCTTGATAATTTATCTGCGCTTCACAGGGAAGTACAAGAAAACTTGGGGTGGCTGGAGAGAGGCCACCTTCCACAATTGGACCCCCCTACTCAGGCTTGCAATACCCTCCATGATTGTGGTACTGAGCGAATGGGTTTCGCTTGAGATTAATGGCATTGTCGCGGGTTTTGCCCCTGAAAACGATCTGGCCGCTTTTGGCATCTGGTATCAGCTTTCATCTATCTTATGGAGCTTTGTATCTGGTGTATTTATCATGGCGGCTGTATTGGTAGGAAATGCAATAGGCCAAGGTAACAATCATCTGGCACGAAGGTGCGCCTGCATTTCCTTGGTAGTGGGCTGTGCATTTTCCATGTTTAACATAATGCTTGTTATTTGTTTTTCCCGATATATTCCGCGTATCTTCTCAGATAACGACGATGTTGCCTCGATCTTCCTTAGAATTAAATGGTGGTGGATCACTTTCCATTTTTTTGATTGTTTTCAGAGTTGCATGATGGGTATCTTGCGCGGTTGCGGACAGCAGCTTATTGGCTCATTCGTAATTGCTTTGGTTTACTCAGTCGTCGGTGTACCACTTGGTATTACTCTTTTTTTCAAGACATCCATGGGTGTTAAAGCGCTATGGATGGGCCCTGCTATTGGTGTGTCTTGTGTTGGATTTCCCGTGTACTTATACTTGTTTTTCTATCACATAGACTGGGATAAGCTAACCTCGATAAATGAGGAGCTTCCTGCCTTGAGCACCAGAAATGATAGGCTATCCACACGGGCACCTTTCTCCACCAAAGTGAGTGACATCGATATCTTTCAGGAATGCGAATCGAATTGCTCCACGTGCCCAGCTTCTTCTTCTCATCCCTTTGAATCGAGAAATGTAAGCATATCCAACAGTGAGCATGGTGAATTTGAACATTTGTCCTTTGCATCACATTTACGTTTTGCCTCGCGGGATATTTTGTCGATGCCTCAGTCATTTTACATGCACTCAGCTGATAATCAGACTGAAGCACCAATATTACACAATGCTGTGAAGTCAGCGAAATTGAACTAAATTCATTGTGGATTTGTTTATCGGCCTTTTTCATAAAGTGCAGGAAAACATTCGGTGATAGGGGAAGTTAGAGAAAATAGCTAGGACGGTATGTATGTCTCTCGATATCGATGAAAAACTATAAATTTAAGTAAATCATTATACACGCTTTTAAACAATCTTAAGATATGAATCCCTTTTATGAATAGCTTCTAGATATTTATTCTGGTCAACAATTATCTCCGTTAAGGAGTTAAATAGTGTAATATGTAGGAAGCAAACGAGTAAAAAGTATGCACCCATAAAGACGGAGATAACGACAGAAGGAGATATTCATTTTGTTTTTATTCTTTCTGATATTTTCAAGCGGAGAGTGGAAGAATATAGAAACTCAATGATTCATCTCATCCATTTTTTAAAGATAGTATTGTTTTTGTAGCTTTCGATGACATCACAATCGGACCTTTCATCTTGTAAAAAATTGCTGGAAAGTGATATTAGGATCTTTTACTACAGAGTAAGTAAAATAAGTGGGTAAAAAGGCATACTTGTAAACTAAATGGTAAAATCTAATAATAGCGCTGAATATTCATGCGAATCACATCTTGAATCAACATCACCTAAACATAGTCCTGTTGACACCCCGCAAAAAAGCAATGTTCAATCAGCAGGAACAACTCCAGAAGTGTCAAATAACAACGTGTTGCCAGCGCACGGCACCATTCTACCGTTGCAAGGTCCATTAGCGAGCACGCCCACGTCTAATGTTGATGTAGCAATCCATGAGCACAAGGGAACACACTTCTCTGAAGCAAATTCCACTCATAACAGAAAGAGACTTTGCGAGCCTCTTCAACGATATAGAACAGATCATGAAAAGTCGAGTAGGAATCTTTCAGAAATGGATAACGATCATGAGGATGATGTTTCCTTAGACAGCTATGGAATGCCTAAATATGTGGAGCGTTATCACGATGGGTCGGTTTCTAAACCGGGAGTTTCCAAACAACAATACATTAATGATCCAGACTTCTACGTCCCTTGGAACCTGCGCCAACCAGGTCATTCCAAAAGATTTACTTTTTTCGACTTTCTGCGATTACCACAGTTTTGGAAACAGTTTGAGTTCGCGATGCGTATCACACTCTTTGCTGCTTTAATTCCCGCCCTCTTTATGACAATTCCTGCATTACCTAATCCATTTGTGTCGTACTTTTTCGTTTTCTCATCGATGGCATTGGCGTCCAGGGTTTTTGTGGGGGAGTCCCTTTCTTACCTTTTTTCCTGGGTCCGTGCTGGCTTGTTCTGGCTTCCGTTGACTGTGATTGCAGCCGCTCTCGACCTTGGCAACAACACTGGCTGGTGGTGCGCCTACTACACTTTCTTTTTATTTATTATGGCACTTTTCACCGAAGATATTTCACGGCGCATTTGCTTGTTGTTATTTAACATATGCATGGTAACTTTGCTAATGCGTAAGAAACGGGACCTCATTTACCCATGTCGGGTAATGGCGGACTGGTGTATTGGTATTTTCTTGTGTACAATCTCCACCTTTATTCCTTACCCAAAATTCTGCTACTACCGTGCGGAAAATTTAATATTACAAATTGCTAAAACTGCGGGGAACACCTTTCAGGGAATTATGCATTCTTTTTGGAGCGAGTCGAATGTGGAGCGTAACATGGCTATGTCCAGGGTGCGAGTCTTGGCAGAGTCCTTGAACGAAAAGTTGGCAGATTTAGAGAACTGCCAAAGCCTCACGATCTATGAGTTCTTTGCTGAATCATCTGAAGCACATCAAATTCGTGCTCTGAAGTTTATTTTGTTTGAACGATTGTGCGTTAACATAAGCACCTTGCTGAGAGTTTTAAGCACAGTGGAAAACAATCCGACTGTTGTCGACGACTCCGACCGTTCACAGGCCTTCAAGAAGATTATTGCCCCACAACTGTCCGCTGTTTCATCATCCTTTGATAATTTTATGACGGGGCTCGCGTTTGCGAAAAGTAAATCAGCCATCGAAAAATTGAAGCCCTCCTTTGACTCCGTGTACGAATGCACCTCGGGACTACAAGAAGCCTTCACTGTTGCACGTCGCATGTTTCTTTACGAATATACTTATGACACGATGGAGGCGTTCTTGCCACTCATGGTCTCTTTTCTTTTCACCTTAGTTTCCTTCAGTGACACTGCTGGTATGTTTCAGAAAGATGTTGAAGAACTCAACCCCTACTTTGTTGATTCGCTCAGAACATTATTTCGCACGATTGTCTATGAACCATTTTGTAATAATTTAATCTTTTTAAAGAAGCTTTTCTTGACAGGAAATCGGCGAGAGGTTCAGCGTGTTTTTGAAGCGGCAAAGGTAAGTGGTGCCATGATCCTAACCATTGGTTTTACCTTTCTTATGGATATTGATAGCGCATTCTTTTCAGGCCCCAATATCATCGCGTTTGTATCTGGTATGAACCCGGTGGAATCGGTGCAGGCTTCCATTGTGCGGCTCACAGGTTGCCTGATCGGCACTGTCCTGGGATTCTTTGCGGGGGCCTACTCTAAAACGGATGCGGAACGTGTTTCCTTACTGTGTGTTCTCATCTTCTTTTGCACTTTTTTCAGGAACGACAAAGACTATGGCATAATGTCTGTATATGCCATGTTCGTTCTCATTCCGCTTGACTCAATTAATAAACCAACATTAAAAGAAACCATGGATCGCATGAACCAGAATACTGTCGGCATTTTTATCTACCTATTAGTCAGCATTTTAATACTTCCCTTGTCACCGAGTGTGATCTTACGTGCAAAGAGAATCAATATACTCAAGCGGATAAATGAAGCCTTGGGTAGCGTTCTTGATTTGTTTTCCGATCCGTTCATTGAGACAATAGCAGATGATGATTCTAACATGCGGTGCCCTCAACCAGCACACGAAATTGTGAATATTGCGAGTAAAACTGGGGCTCCAGTGCATGGCAGTAAGAGCACTCCCTCTCCTGACAACTCGTTGCACATAATTCAGACTTATGATACTCAACTATCGAAGATCACTACTATTTTAGACGATATTAACCATCGAATCAAAGCTTCCAAGCCATACGTAAACTTTTCAAAAGAGGAGCGCGGTCTCGTGGAGGTTGACTATCCTGTAGGTGCATGTGCTGAAACCTATGAGCACATGCGGATTATGCTTGTTTTGCTCAGGGCTATGTGGATGAGTTGGAGCTTGTTCCGCAGTCAACGTTTATACACCAAAGAGATGCGGCGGTTGATGGTTCACCTTCAGCCTGTTGCAGCTAGTATTTCCAATTCCTTCAGCCGTATTACCAATCTTATTATATACAGCATACAGAACCCTACTACAAACCTGGAAGGAGAGATTATGAAGTCCGTGTTGAACCTCCTGGAGTCCTGCAAGGAACTACAGGCCCGAATGAATCAGATTTTGGTCATCATCATCGCTGAGGCTGTCGAGGAATTCCGTGATCCCGCTACCGTGAGTGTGCCACTCACTCAGCTTCTCAAAAACGGAGTCTACTTATCTCCTGAAGACGCCACCTTCAGCCCAACAACTAGAAACTTCTTAAAAGGAGCTGACGATTTTCTGCATACTGCCGTATCCTTACAGTTTCCAAAAGGTGAGGTCCATAGAAAGTACATTTCAAATCAGTACAGGCTCCACCATTTGTCTCTCCCGCTTTCAAACCTTCGCACAAATGGATCAGACACTAACAGAACTAAAGTCAGGTCCTCTCGATACGATATCTCTGAAGAGAGTGGCATGGATGTTTTAAGGAGGGGTGCATCCAGTAGGAAACAACGTGAGGGGACCCATGTTCCGGTGCATCTTCCGGAGGACTTTAAATTCCCAATATCTTCTGAGGATGCTGAATGTTTGCATTCTTTTGCACTTTCCTTGCTCATGTTCGCAAATGAAACCAAAATGCTTATGACGAGTCTTCAGGTAATGACGGACCACGCGCGTTCAAAAAAATAACGATACTACGGTATCTCTTTATACAATTAATACGACACTAAGTATAACTACTGAGACATGGAAATATTTTAAATGGAGGGTCCCTGAAGATGATACGCTGTTCATCTTCGTGTTTAAATTCTTGTTTTCAGACACTTCCTATGCTACATTTGTGTCTTGCGTTTGGGGGTAAGTTGGAAAGAAAGGCATTGTGGACTTGAAAGACGCGTGTGTGCAAATCCAGCTCTGCATTACAGTTTGAAGTCTTTTTCATGTTATCAGTTTCCATGAGTAACAGACATTAAAGTATTTTTTTAAATATTCTAATAACCTGCAAGTTGATGAAGTACATTTTAGGTTTATTATTCAGCAATTTCATCGATAAGGCTTCAGTTTTATGATGAAGCTCTTCCTCTGGGGATTACTTATCATAGCAGACTAAAGTGTAGGTCGGAAAGAAATCATCTAGTTATGGAGAAATACAAAGTCGGTTGTATAGTTTTTATAACTTAATTCTCTGACCCCCCTCTGATGTTTTTAGAATTACACAGGAATTTTGGTATATATCAAAAAGGAAGCCAAGTGTATTAGCATTATGCAACGCCATCGACAGGCCTTTTGGGGCGATGAATGAGTATTCTAGGGATGTTTCCCTTATGAACTGGTTACCTTTTCGTTGACGCTTAATTTAGCTTCTTAGTTTATTTACATCTTTAGATATTGTATGCTTTGTTATGCATTTTATTTTTTGATGAGTAAAAATAACATACTTTTTATACGGACATATAGATAGAATGGATTTTCCCACTAAGACACCACTAACTCACTTCGACACATCATCAGATGACTCGTACCGTAATGTGGATGCCGTCCAGAACTTGTCCATTGTCTCGCATATGGCTGCACTTGGACATGGAGCCTGTGGAGTTGAACCCAATATGGACAACATCGCTGCCACAGCACAATCTTTCACGGACCGCGCACGTTCAGAACTCCCCTGTGAACGTCATGTTGAGGATGATCGTGGCGGTGACAACATTCCCTCAGACGAGAACCAGACCACGAAAAGTGTCACAAATATGGAGCTGGTGAAAAGCTTTTTGATCAGCGGCTTTCCACTGACACTGGCGTCCATCGCCCAGTTTTCTATTAATGCATCGACTGTCGCAATAATAGGTAAGTTTTTAGGTGCTGACCAAATGGGTGGCGCCACTCTAGCTTTGAGCTTGGTAAATGCGACGGGTTTTGCTTTTGGTACTGGCCTCTGTGGAGCCTTGGAAACTGTTCTCTCGCACACTTATGGTGAATGGGAAAAAAAGAAGCAACTCGCCACTGAAAGCGAGACCGATGTAAACTGTTTCCCTTCTACAGAGGCAGGAGCTTCGTGTCGTAGTCGCACAGGCGCTATGCAAGTTACCACAGAATCAAACGTTACTGCTGTTGAGCGAGGGGGGTCGGCTCCGAGTCTGTACATGTATGGCACATACACACAGCGTATGATCCTCATTTTACTTGCGGCAGCGCTTCCTTTGGGTGTTATTCTTTGTTTCACCGACAAGCTTCTTAAAGTTTTTGGAGAAAGTCCGGTTTCAATTTACTACATGGGCCGTTGGTGTCGTATTGTCATCTTTGGATTACCAGTGACTTTATGTCTCCCTCTTATTCAGCGGTACTACTCTTGCCAACGCGTAACGAAGCCGTTGCTTGTGGCCACCTTTGTTGCAGCGGCTGTGCATCCTGGCTTGCAGATTGCCTTCATAAAGCTTATGGGCTTTGAAGGCTCCCCAATGATGTGGGTTTTTCTCATGTTGGGTCTTCTACTCGGTATTATTGCTCATCTTCGTTGGACTGGATTGTATCGCCTAACATGGGGAGGGTGGAACAAGAGGAGCACACAGAACTTAGGGACTCTTGTAAAACTCGCCCTTCCCTCTATGGGCATCATGATGTGTGAATGGGTAGTAGTCGAAATAATCGCTCTCACGGCTGGTTTTGCGCCAAAGAATGATTTAGCCGCTTTTTCTATCACTCTTAACATTTTTGGAGTGCTGTGGGGTGTCACTTCAGGTGTCATTGTCATTGCGTCTGTATTTGTGGGGAACGCTATTGGAGGAAGAAAACCGATCTTTGCACGACGTATCGCCTTGATTTCCATTGTTCTGGTCTTGGGCATCTCATCTATTGACGTTGCTATCATGTTTGCGTTGAATCCATATATTCCCTTTATTTTTACGAACGAACAAAAGGTAGCTGACATCTATCAACATATTATGTACTGCGTCCTTCCTTACCATATTGTAGATACCCTACAGAGCGTCATGATGGCAATTTTGAGGGGCTGTGGGCTGCAAATGCTTGGCGCGATTATCATTTCCATTGCCTTGTGTGTTGTAGGTCTCCCACTCAGTTTTTTACTCTTCTTTCACTTTAAATATGGTGTTGTGTCTCTTTGGATTGGTCTTTTTGTTGGAGTTGGTGCTGTGGGCACGCCTCTATACTTGTACATTTTATTTAGGTACATAGATTGGAAAAATTTGAAGCCACATAATGAGGAAATACCACATTATAAGAGATAAAGAGAGGGGGGGAACGTATGCTGAAGCTGAGATGGGGCCTGGATTTGCGGATAGTATAGACCGAAGATACGTAGTCCCCCACCCCCCCAAAAAATGGAATAACAAGAATTGAAGCAGCTGGAAGTGTACAATTTTTGAGTTTTGCTTTTAATATGTTTTTGATGGAGTGCAAAATACATAGATAGCGTTCCACAAATCAGGGCTGCATCTCACACACACTCTCATTTATCTCTCTCTCTCTCTCTTTTTATATGTATATATATATATATATAGTTTAAAATTCGATGTGAGATAAGAATGTGAATTTGGTTCGATAAGAAGGAATAATAGTAATCGTGTAATGAAGTTCATTTATTTTTTTTCGGAGAGATTCTTTTTGACAGTATTGGCTAGCTATGATAATGCTTCGAGAACTTTTTCCCCTATTTTTTAAATTAGGTAACTTGATAATAAAATGATAAGCATTTATCTGCAATTTTTATCCAAAATGGAGTGTGAATTCATAACTATTGTTGGTCATTGAGTGAATGGAACTCAAACAAATACTCCATGTGCAACATTTTTTTGTTGCCTGTTCAAATCATATGTGATAAATGGATTCTGTAGCTTTTCTCTATTGTATGCGTAATAAAAAGCCAATCTCCAACCTTTCAATTACTGGTAAAGCAGTGAAAGGTAGACAAAAGATTAGATGCTGTGACCATTGATGCTGACAAGTCGTTGGGACAATGTGAGACTGAGCAATGAATGACTTCCGTTGTAAAAACTAATAATGATTAAACCCCTGTGTTCTATCGAATCCGTTAACATTTGTACGTTTACAAGGATACCTGAGACAAAATTTATATAAGAGGGTGTAAACGTGAGTACTGGTGCTTTTTTAAGTTTTTATTTTTTTCCCCTTGGTGGTGATGAGTTCGAGGACATGAATTCTTTTTTTTCTAGTATAAATATTAAAGAAGTAGGGAATGCAGGGATGCAATGTGCTAACACAACATTGCATTTCCTATATTTAAAATCCATTGCATTCCTTTTTATTACTTCAATACCTTCAGTTGGGAAGTTAATGAAGCATTTTGCCAATTAAGCAGTCAGTTTTGGTGTATTAGTTATTTTATTGTGTTTGTCTATTGCTTTTTCAGTGTCAATGCTACTTCCTTTACATATGTCCAATGTTTCTTAAATTGTTCCCCCTTCGATATTTGAATTTAAAACTTCTCATTTTTCTTTAAAGGCGAGTCACAAGGCTATCATTGCTCACCTTTCCGCGTGAGCACACACAAGCGCGTACGTCACTCAGACTCATGCCTCTTGCGTGTTTTGAGACCTACAGCAATCTCCAGAAAGATGATGACTGCTTTAACGCGCGCTTACAAGAGATTAACCGCGAAATACAGGACATTTTAGTTAAAACAACTCAACAGCGTGAGGATTATCTCGGCCCGTCTTGTGTGTCACCACAGCTTCGACAAACCATTAAAAGTGATCTGCAAGGTATAGCTGGACCGCCTGCAGATGTTCCAGCAACTACCCCATCAAACTTATTTTACGAAAGCCTAGCTGCTAAACAGATACTGCAGTGTACGGAAGACCAGTTGCGTGCTCTGTTAGAGCCGTTAATTGAAGCGAAAGTCCATCAAATGCTAAAGGTCCTTGTCGGCAAGCTGGAACGAACCCGAGATCATCAGGAGGAGACTAAGGCAAGTGTAGTTGCGCTTTCCGAGGAATATCAGGAGCAGCGAAGGGTTCTCCAAACCACACTAGCCTCCTTCAAGCACCAAGCTTCTCGATTTCAACAGCTTCAAGCCGACTTCAAAGACCATGAGCAGTGTTGCCATGAGCAATTGACTGCTATTAATGACACCTTGAGTGCTTTCAACGGAAAAACGCAGCTCAGTGAACAACGTACTGCGCGCCGCCTAGATGAGCTGGCAAGACACCATCATGAAACCATTCGTAATTCTCTGATAGATATGGAAAATCATGTCCTTCAATGGAAAGGCGAGCTTGAAGGTGTAGTACACCGACAAGTATCGGATTGGAGAGTATGGAGTGATGAACTTGAAGCGCACTTGGCCCGCTCACAAGGGGTGCTTAGCAGCGTTGCTGAGATCGTCAACAAACACACTGTCGACTTACGTGATTTGATGGAAACTGAACTAGAGAAGCGTAGTGAGGTCCGTTCGTGCCGACGCGATGTGAACCGCCTGGAAATGCTGCTTCGGTGTGGCGGTAGTCTTTTATATACTAGGGAGGACCGCGAAATCGCTGACGTCGTGAACTATCGTGACAACATTCAACTGATTGATCGAGCCAAGGCTTCCGAACCAAGCTCTATGGTCTTGGTCCAAGAAATTAGTCATACTAAGGAGCAAGTTAGTTACCTTGGTAGTCGAATAGAGGAGTTGGAAAGATGTCTTGGAGAGCTGAGTCAAACACATGCGCGTGGCGACGGTATTGTTAACAGAGGTGGGATAACTCGGCACGAGGTAACACCGCAAAAGCGTGTTCAGGACGAGGTCCTTACTAGCACTAGACATCAAAATTCTGCAACAGCAAACATGTCGGGTCAAGTACCATTTCACTCCTATCTGTCATCAACGTCTACTATGAGGTCTCCCTCTGAACGTCAACCGAAGCTAAGCAATACAATAACAGGCAATGTAAAGTCTCGATTTTGTTCCCCAGAGCAACAACCACACTGGAGAGCTACTCATTTGGACAAAAATTCTGCTTTTTTATTTCCTCTGGAGCGCAGTGGTAGCACTCGGAACTCAGAGCACGAAAAGCCTGTTCAGCGTGTAGTAGCGCTCGAAGCGAGCATGCGGAATTCCCGCCCAGGCGAGCAATATGTACATAATAAAATTCACCCTCCGCAGTACTCCTCAGTGTTACCTCATGAGGAGTGTGCGAGCGAAGTTAAGGTAAAGGAAGACCTCAATACCCCACTCAGTGCCAACAAACGGGAAGACTCTTCTTCTTTCTTGACATCAATGCACAAAAGTCTATCTCTACAAGAGGATCGACTAGTGACTGACGATCTGAGACGAGCTGTGGGCAACGATGCTGATGTTGAGGAGACCGATTCATATCGAAGCAGAACGGAGTCTGCTACGCATCACCAGCACCTAGAGGAACAAATGAAAGGCAACGAGGATGTCCTGCTAGTACGTCCCGACCAATACCCGCCAGCCCCTGCAAGTGATTCAGAAAGCGAGCGAAATAACTATAAGTTGTCTAGATTGGCGATTGACTAGCGTTAGAAGGAGATGCGGCAAAGATAGGTTGCTTAAATTGGTTTAGAAAATTTTCCCCCTGGAATTACATACAGCGCTAGAGACTACCATGTCCTTAAATATTGAAAGTTTTTTCTCCTCTTTACTATTTTTTTTTGTCTTGGCAGAGGAGTGGTAGTGTTTTCATAGGAAAAGGAAAATAATAATATTGAGCCTGGTGTATTAACTATGTCTACTTCAACTCGTCCACCTTCACAGGGTTTGCCCTCCGGAGCACGTAATGCCCAAGGTCTCTCTGATGCGATCCCATTTGTGCGCGAAGTACGCAGTGTTAAAATCCCACATCACCGTTTCCCGCCTCTCAGGAAGATGTGGATGGAAGTTTACACTCCAATCGTCGAGCACTGTAGACTGGAAATTCGAATGAATCTTAAGACACGGTGCGTTGATTTGAGAACATCACCATCGACTGGTGAGGGAGGTGATAATCAAAACGCTTCTAACAGCAAGGTTCTGCTGCAAAAAGCGGAGGACTTTGTTAAGGCAGTGGTTGCTGGCTTCGAAGTGAAGGACGCAGTTGCGTTGCTGCGTATGGACGATGTCTATATAGAAGGATTTGAGATTAAGGATGTGCGTGCTAACCTACAGGGGGACAACTTGTCGCGGTGCATTGGGCGGCTGAGTGGTTCACACGGGAAAACGAAGTATACCATAGAGAATGTAACACGTACCCGTATTGTGATTGCAGACACAAAAATATGGATTATGGGTACAACACAGAATATTCGTGTTGCACGTGATGCGCTTTGTGATTTGATTCGTGGTAGCCCAGCAGCTAAGGTGTACACACGAATTCGTTCCGTCATGAATCGTGTCAACAATGCGTTTTGAAATTATTTCGTGAGTTCATACATTCTCAATGCCCTATAGCGTACTTTCGACACACCAATCTAGCCCCTTTTCCTATGTGGCATATGCCTAGCTTTTAATCTCAGGCCACCAAAAGTAACGCAGTGAAGTATATATGGCTAACGAGAAGATTAACTTCATTAAATATGCACTAACTAAATGCATATAATACATCAACGAAGCTTTTTTGGCATGAGCATCTTTTTCTCTCATTCCTTAATGTGGATGTTCCCGTGAAATGTTGGTATTCACGCACTACGTGGGCAGCTTTTTCACCCTTACCTACTTTTCCTCTTTGAAAGATCGACACTATACGTATAGGTACATTTTCCATTTCTCGTGCTGCTTTATTAAACATAGTCTTTTCATTTTGTTCTGATTCGATGGATCGTCTAGATCGTATTTCTAGACTACGCTTTTGACGACAAACTTTACTACTGGCGAAAAAAAATATAAACGTTTTTACGAAGATTAAGGTAAATCCGGAAGAAAGAAAAGAATTTTACACGAAAAAGATGGAAGTTTCTTCCTCGGACTCAGCACTGCTCAACGTATACGTTCAGCAACATGAGTTATATATCCTTATCAATCAGCTCGGCACAGCTGTTGATCAACTTGAGGAAAATATAATACTTTTACGATCCGATCACCTTGATGGAAACGGGCGGAAGGTTCAATTAAATCGTAGTAGCGTTCGATGCAGCAAACTCGCAGCGAGTCTCTTATTTCAGATTGCTGCGACTGATACAGTTCCCAAGAAAGCTGTCAGGACCCTATCTTTGCGATACCACGACGTATCAATGTCCTCAACGACAAGAACACAAAGTGGTGAAATGCGGAGGAGACATCTTGATGGATTGAAACCAGTGATTTTGCAACCAGATTTTCCAACAAGGGAAACTTGGCTACTTCGTGAAGTAGTGCACGTTATAGCGTTGCGCTGCCGCAACCTGCTTTTGGGGGATAATATTTCGTGTATGGATGGAGCTTTGCATTGGGCTGAGCAAGTTCAGACGAGCCCACGCCTTGGGGTCGCTCTAGCATTCGCTGTTGTTACCGCCTGGAGGCGCATTGCATCTCTCGGTGTCAGCTTCGCGTCCATACGCGACGAGCATTACCATGCATCCCCTTTGAATGAAACCAATACTGCGCACGGTCACGCCGTAGCGTCCCGTAACGCAGGATGCGTCGACGGAATCCTTTTTTTTTGCGCCCTATGTTCTTCTTCTGGACCACCATGCCCCCTATCAAACTTTTCGGGCAACTCTAGGAAAGATCCCGTAAATGACGATGCGGTGGGCGATCTGGGGGCTTTCTTTGATCCTGAATTGCTCAAGGATTTTGCGCTTGCTATTTTTCGGGGTCACTGTCGAAACATGCCGCTAGACGTGTGGAATGGCTTTTTGAGCACCGCACAATTTACAACTTATCTTTTAGAAGAGATTAAAATTCGACAAGGCAAGTCTAATGATTATTTCTCGCATTTCCCATTGACGCTTGCACAGGAGGCAATCGTACTTCGTAGTCTGTTGCTATTTACAACCGGCCAAAGTCATGTTTGGGCGTCGGCGCTTCTTTCTGCAAGTCTTTCAAGTACTGAAGTTGGGTTTGGTACTTTGCTTGTAGAGAACGTTCCTGAAGAGGTGTGTCTCGACGTACGGCGCATTTTTGATGAACTGAACGCATTTGTTAATAAAGAAGTCAAAAATAACGAATTAATATTGTTTTCGTCTCTTGTCCTGTCTGATGGGTATGCGCTGTGGTTGTTGCAACCTTATGCAACCATGTGGTCCTGCTACTGTACTCTGTATGAAGGAAATGAGTGATTAAAATTTCTAACATATAGAGGGTTAGGCTTGAGGGGGGTGATAGGATTTGAAAATATGCAACAGCAGTTTATTTTTCTTCCTATTTGTTGAATACCGGTTGGAAATAGGTACCCCTAAAGCTTTATTACGGCATGTTTGTGCGGATTTTCTGCTATTAAGTAAACTCATGGGCTCCCATTTGATTTTTTTGGAGTGCATATGTGATGCCATCCTTTTTCTCGAACCATTTATTATCTGTTAAAGTAATAACGTTTTATCACAAAAGGGAATTATTTGAGGAAAGGAGTTTTCAGGACAAGGACACACTTGTAACATTAATATGGATATCCTCATTAAGGACGCCGTGCGCAGAGGTGAAAAAAATTCTGAAAGGGAAACATTCAAAATATCAATTCGGTGCTCTGTCTCCCCTAAGTCAATTCTATATCAAAATCAAAATTGCCCGAATGACAGAATCCTGGAATTTTTGGATGAGCGTGACGGTCACGAAGCTCCATCTTTCCCATACTTCAACTCCCCTGAGGCATACGATGACTTTAATTCCGACAAACACGATGCAATCTCATCGCTCATTTCATCTAATATAGTGAATGTTGAGCACAAGAACTCCACCATAAATTCTACAGTGTTGATGAAGGATGATACCTTAACTGAGAGCAGCTCATACAATAGTAAATCAAGCGTTGACACCACGCAATCGACAGACGACGATACCCTAATCAATATCCCTACGTCAACCCAACACACGGAAGAAATAAAACCAACAGCTATCATAACCGGTGAAGGTACTGTAGGCAAAATTGTTTCTCAAAAAGAGTGTGGGCTTGTTCACTCAAACCCGAACCGCTTTCATAAGCACTCGCGTCTATCGTTTAGGCAACGTCTAAACAAATACATTGAATTAAGCCATGAGATCTTGTCTGCAGACTACGTGTTATCCACTGAGGCTGGCGCCGTTGTCACTGCAAATAAGGACAACGTCATCCAAAAAACGAAAGACTCGTCGCATAAGCAGCAGATCACGTGTTGCGACACGACCAAGACTCTGCATATTCCATCGGCAAAGGCGTTGCCCACGTTCCATACTAATGATGAACGCAATGCGGTGTTGGACCATTCTGGAGTCAGCTTCTGCCCACTTCTCGAGATCTACAGTATCTCGCCTTACATCAACACAATGCGAGAAGAAAATATTAATCTGTCTCCATTCAAGCTTTGGGGCTTTAAACCCTTCCTCCAGCCCAGGCAGAACGCATTCTACAAGACTAAGCATACTCTTGTCCTGGACTTAGATGAAACCTTGGTGAGCACCTCTATCGAATACATCGTCGACGCTGATGCGATTCTCACCATTCAGATGCCCTCAACAACACAGAAACAACAGTCAAGTAACATCTTGTGTAGGAAAGTGTTAATTGAAGCCGAGCCTACAAACACTGCGAATCGTCCCAAGTCAGATTCGTATGTGCTTTACATAAAATACAGACCCCATCTTAAGGAGTTTCTGGATTTCTGTTTTGAGTATTTCGAGGTTGTCATCTTCACTGCTAGCAAGAAATATTACGCTACGGCAGTGCTTCGACGACTTCAAGAAGATTTTGGCATTCAAGTAGTCTTACCGGATGATCCTTTGCCTGGTGACCACGCACAGGTAAGCCGTACTATTACCCTTCTCCATCGTGACCACTGCACCCCCACAAATGCTGGCTTTGTCAAGGATCTCTTCATGCTTGGTCGTAATCTGCGCACAACTGTACTGGTGGATAACGTTGCAATATGTGGTTCTTTTCAACCATTCAATGTTATTCGCGTCAAGGACTTTGTGTGGCGTCAACTAACCTATTCAAAAACTAAAACTTCTAATGGAATCAGTAGATCAGACCCATGCTCCCAGAGTTTGGTGGGTGCTGACATCCGAAAACCCTTTATTTCCGCAAAACTGAATGTCTTGAGCAATAGATCGATGCCTGATGATGACTCCGATCAATTTAAAGTCAACTGTTCCACAGCTATTTGGAATCGTTTTGATGACAATGTGCTGCGCGTCTTGTCCGGTCCGGAGGGTGTGCTGCGACGCATGGTCTACTGCAGTGATGTACCACGCTTTCTTTATCAAGCTATGCTGCGTAGTGTGAATGCAGCAGGCAACGTCGAAGAAAACGATCTCAACTAAATGAACAGGAGGGGGTGCTTGTATCTCTTGTTGAGACTTTTTGTATTACTTTTTCATTGTAAAGTTTTAGAACACTAAATATTGTGTTGTTTCGTTGAAGTTGGACTGAGGTTTCATGATTAATCAAATAGTATCTAGAGATTGTATTAGAATTTTTTTTTAGACAACTCATTTTTGCTTTTATGGGAAAATGAGTTTCAGTCTTTGCAAGGGTTAGCAAGAATGAAGGTCTTTTCCGTTTACTTACTTAATATTTTGGATTCCTTTCATAAAAAAGTGGAAATATTACTCTTCATTGATTACTTGCATTCATGCAATGCATTTCGAGCCCATGACATCAAGGCACAAATTACTGGATACGTCTTTAGTGCACGGTGCTTAAATTTTTTTACCTTCTTTCTCTCTCTCTCTATATATATATATAACGATACCCTTTTTCTGACTTATAATTGTCAAGGAGTGCCAAATACCAACTCGTTCGCATTAAATGTACTATATGCAGATACTATACACAGTGGAGAATCCTTAATAGGAGGACACGCGCAAAACGTTCTTGTTGAATCCAAGTAGGGATTGGTGTATTTTTCCTATACATTTATTTGCTGTTGTTGTCCCTCTATTTTTCTTACTTTTTTTTGCCACCCCTCCCTCGGATTTTCTTGTTCATATCAATGATCACATGTATTCCCAATTGGGGAAGGACTTTTCCTCATTCCTTATCACTTGTATTGCTAACTATAATGACTAATTAATATTTCTAATTTTTTTCTACCTTTTTCTCTTCATCTTTTCTTTTGGTTACCCAGGTTTTTCCATCGTGTGAGCCCTTTTTTTTTGTATTTTCCTACCTTTCTGTTACTGATAAATTAGAATATAAGCGATCATTCCATTTGTGTCATTTTTATGGAGACTATGTAGGATTATGTTCAAAGGTACCGTTTTCCTCCAAGTCTACAACACTTTTTTTTTTATTGGTCTTCTGAATTGCTCTATAAAGAGTGAAAATATAATGTGCCCCCCTTCATCCCAAATTGGAAACCAAATGTCTTAAAAAAATTTTTCATTGTCTCATTTCTTTTTTCCTTTATAAAAATTGAAAAATGTTGAACATAGTTTCCTTGTCTATTTTATGATTTCGCTATACAATTTAGGACTGTAAGTACACTCTTTCTTATTTCATCCCAAGAGAGAGAATGTATATAAAAAGCTATATATGGGCATAAAAATATGCTATCCTATCTTAGAATAGGTGGCAGATGATGTTACCTATACTTTTTCTGTGCAATTTATATTCTTAGCGATGTGCGTATGCTTAAATTTTGTATTCCTAATAAAATGAGCAAAAGGGAATAATAGGAAGGAATTGTTAGCAAAATTTTATTTCAGTTATTTTTTTCTTTTCATTTGATTTAGTGTGTCTCTACAAAAGTTTGAAATATAAAATTCTATATTGTTACTTTTAGTAATGTTTTAATGATTCTTTTTTTTGTGTGTGAGCTCAGTATCATTAAATGGTCTCAAAGCAAGGTTGTAGTCAATTTACTTTTCAAGCCTCTCTAACATAAATAACAAATTTTCTATAAATATTATGTTTTTCTTCTCCTATATCATTCTTGAAAGTGTGAGTTTCCTTTTATTAGACTTTTTTTCCCTTTCATTAATCTGTTCATTATTTTTACCTACGCCGACAGTTGTATATATATATATATATGTGTGTGTATGTGTATATGTGTGCTAATGGCTTCATATTTTATCTTTACCTTATTGTGTTTTGATTGAATCTAAAAGGAAACAATTATACTAAATTATGTCAATGGTGAACCAAAAAGGAGCGTGTACAAAAAAACATTGTTCCCTCTTCTCCTCCTCCCTTATCAAAACTAATATACTTGACGAAGAAAATCAATTCGTTTTCACATCAATCTTCTATTTTCTTTCAAAAGTAGTATCTTTGCATGTGTTTACTACCTTTGATACTACATATAAATGTTTTCATCCTAAATCATGTGTTTCAACATATTCCACGTGTTCACTATACATGAGCACTTGAATCTTTTTAGCTCTTTTTTTAAAAATATGTAAATGTCATTATCACTTTGCATTCGTTGCCCTCAGGCAGGTTGCAAAGTCTTCAAAAATTCTTTTATTAAAATTTTTCCCTGACACTTTCCTCATTTCATAAACCTAGTTCTGTATTTATATGCATTAGCTTATTTTTAAAATTTATGGCTCTTTATTGTGAATGATGTTCCTATGGTTTTGGTAAAGAGCCAGACTTGCTAATATTTCTTCTTTTTACCTTCTTTATATCTTTCTTTTTCATTATTTAACCCTTTCGTGCTATTTTCACCTTGTACCCTTAGTTCTTTAACTTTCGTCACTCGACTCGGATACTGAAATGCGTAAGATTGTTAAAGAAAAAGTCCCTTCATATAGAAGGGGGAAAAATTAATAAAAATAATCAATTCCATAAGCAGGAAAACTACACCGTCGTAGAATTTCAAAAATCTTTATTCGATCATTTGAGTCTCTTGAGTAAGTCGTAAGTAAAACATTTTTAATAGCTACTATTGTGTCCACAGACTGTAGCTTGTCTTAACGATGAAGAGGAAATAATTCAAAGATTCGATTATCCTTCTAATCAATAAAGACTAAGTTACATTTATACATATTTGTAAATATTAAATCCGCGCCTATGCACCCTTTTACGAACAATATCTACGTGGATTTTGACAAATAAGAAGAGTTTTATTCCCGTAGCAGAGTTTAGATTTCTTGCGCACACTGACGGGACTATATTTGATTGTAAATATCTTATTAAAACCAATATTATCTGATCATTATGAAATTTGAGTTTCCAAGACAGGAAGAGATCTTAACATATTTTCATAAATATTCCAGTTTGTCCCCTCTTTGAAATCCAGAAAACAAAAGATATCTAAGCTTAACAAAGCCTAAAACATCTTTTTACAGATTATTATTTATAAAGATATTAAAAAGAAAAAGAGGAACATGTTATATTAAAACTTTCCCTCATCGAATGTAGAGTTTTCATTAGAGAAAAGCAACTATTTTTTTACACTGCTATACCTTTAAGTTATGCATGGCTGGAGCTCATGTGAATTCCAGAATCGAGTATTGTGTATACAAAATGAATACGCGACAGACAAAAGACCAAACACAACTAAAAGAATATATGTGTAGAAATTTCATATTTTTCTGTATCCAAATTCTAACATAGCTATAGTAAAAATGCTTAAAGTAAATATTCACTGAAGGGGTAAATTAAATAAGAAGCCAAAGATGTAAAATTAAATGGAAGAAAATAGTGGGAGCCGCGAAGGCCCATTACGGGTGCAACACCATGAAGTACGTGGAGATGGAGGACGCGGGTGGCAGCCGGTCTGTCAATTCGCACTGGAAGATGCGCAACGCGAAGGACGAGTTGATGTCCCCTGCGAGTTACGCAGGATTCTACACCGCGATCACCATCGCTGCGATGGAGGATACGGGCTACTACAAGGGCAACTACAGCAATGCCGAAAGCATGGCATGGGGTAAGAACGCCGGGTGCGGGCTGTTTAATGAGAAGTGCGTTATTGACGGGGTGTCGCAGATTCCGGGGATGTTCTGTGACACTAAAAACATGGTGATAAATGAGTTCAGCTGCACATCGAACCGACTGGGTATAGGCAACTGCGATATAACGAATAATAAAAACTATGCACCTCTTTTCCAGTACTTCACCAACCCGACGACGGGTGGCTCTGAGGGGTGGATGGACTTTTGCCCCTACATCAAAGATTATCCGCAAACCAGGTTTTCTAATGGGGATGTTAACGTATTGTCGGGCTCTGTGTTTTCTGAATCTGCACGGTGCTTTTCGGCCTCAAAGAGCACTACACTCGAGATAGGTAATGGTGAAAATATGACCGCAGTCTGCGCGGACGTGCTGTGCGATGAGGCCACGGCGACTTACCAGGTGCGCGTGAAGGGCGCCGGTGGATTTGTGGACCGCTCACGCGAGGGCACCCTTGTGCCTGCGATGTACAGCCCAGAGTTCCGCTCTGGCATGATCGAGTGTCCGCCATACGATGAGGTGTGCACCGGGAATCCGTCGGTCCGCAGTGGGACTAATGCCAGCAGAAACAGTGTGTCCAGTGAGACTCCTGGCTCCAATGAATCTCGTTACATCGCCGCATCCGGTACGACTGGCGGTGTGCACCACTTGACCCCCATGCTTGTGGTGGCTCTGGCTGGTGTGTTTGCCTTTGCATAACGATAAGAGCGAGCAACGCACGTGAAAAGTCAGTCTGCGCGCTAAATACTAACCGTGGATGGAGCACCGTGAGATTGACCCATGTGCGGTCCGAAGTGTGCTCAGATAGAGTTTCATCAGTTAAAGATTTCATTGTTATTTTCATAAAGCAGATCCTTATACATATATACCTATATGCATTTATAAATAAATATAAATATCTATGTAATTGTTTCCTCATTGTTTATTTCAAAAAGTTTTACGCATTCATTGTCTATTATTTCGGATATGCGGGAGGCAATGCTTCGCTCTACATGTGATTTATTGAGTGTCTTCTTATCCTGAGTGTGGAGCCGCTAGTGATTCAGATTAAATGTTTTATATACCTATCATTATACGACGCTACTGAAGAAGGTGTAGCCAAGGGATGAGGCGCGAGACGAGCACCCGCAGATCAGGGGTAAGTGTAGCGAGGGAAGCGGGATGGACAGGCATTTCGATGCCTCCCTGCTTTAACAGAATACAAATAAATATCTTTACTTGATTTCTTCGACTTGTGAATATCTTTTGGAATAAAAGTTTGCGGTATCTTATATCTTTTATTCGTGTTACTTTCATCGTTTAGTCTTTCTATCATATGTGTATAACGTATATTTAGCATCGTATTAATGCCCTCTTTGATCGGCGTGGAGCGTGAATAATTTCTATTTGATATAATTTACACCCTTTGTTTCTACGCACTTTATGTGCGTATCATTGTTATCTGGGGAAGGGGATGCATTCCAACCACCGCCGTGATTCGTGCAAACGTAGAAGGCGGGGGTGTCGCAGGGTGTGGAAAGCCCCATGGGCGCATAGTGCGCCCCTGAATGTTGTCTGAGCGATCTACCTCTTTTTCCTTTTCCTCCCCCTTCCTACCCTCATGTGTTGCGTCGTGTACTAGAATAACCACGCACTCGTGCAGACGCGTTGCCAAGTAAGAATACATTCACACAAACACACACACACCCAGCAGCCAAGCGCTTTGTTGACGATCGCCGCCGCGGCAAACAAACCGGATGCCGAAACCGTGCACAGGCCTGCGGGTGGCCGCGTTTATGGCTGCTGCTGCCTTGCTGGCGCTCCTCATCGCCCCTCTGCTAACCGCAGCGGGGCACCGTTGCATCTTCGACGAGCTGCAGCGCTCGCAGCTCGCGGCTGGCGCCAGTGCCGTCGTCGAGACGGAGGACCGTGGGGCGCCGCGGCGGCAGGGTGCGGAGCTGCACGAGGACATCGCCACCTCCGTATCGTGGGAACCGATCCGCATCACGGTGTTCACCGAGGACCTCGACAACGACTCCCGCTACTGCACACAGACCGGGAGCTTGAGACCCGACTTTATGGGTTCCACGTGCGTGTGCGAGGCCGATGACATTCTTACGGACGAGAAAAAGTGTCTGCTGCGTGACGTGGTGATTCACGACGCGGTGCAGATGCACAGGGACCGTTTGCTGGTGCAACGGCATGACGGCAACATCCGTGTTGATCGCTTTACACGCGGCATCTGCTCTCACTTCACGGTCCCGGAGTCCTCTTGGTTTCAGGTTATAGTTATCAATTGTTCTTCCTATCTGTCGAATATTTTTTTTTCACGTTTTGGTGGTACCCTTATTATTTGTGTATTTCTTTTTTATGATTTACTTTGTCCTTTTTAGGTATTGTTTTATTACTTTCATTCCTTTTTAGCTTTGTATTTTTAAATTTTTTTGAAGTTCTTACCTTCATTAGGCTTTCCTCATTGAGTATATGTACTCTACTTAGTTTAATATTGCTTCTCTGTTGTGATGCTAAGGGTGCTGTATTTATCTCAATTGTTTGACCAAGACATAATCCTTTTATTTTACCTATTGCATGTTTAGGAATTGGCAATTGATTTTAGTAATTGTTTTCGACTTTTTTCCCTTCTTGAATTTCTATGCGTTTCCATTGCTTCTGTATTCATAAATTTTATTATACTAAACTTCAAAACACCTATTTCATTAGATGAAACTATGTTTCTTTCTACTCCAAAATAAACTTCTGTAATATATACGTCAAAAAAATAAATGCAACTATTTGGCAAATTTTGATAATGTACTCTACTTGTGTGGTTTTGTCTATTTCGGATGTGTAGTCGATCACTTTCCCTTTCTCCCACAATTATGATTTGCTCACGCTTCGAATTTCGACCTTTATGCTATTAAAATTATTTTGATGTAGTTCAAGTGTTTTATCATTCTCAAAGTATGTGACTAACTTCTATACAACAAATAACTATTCTTACCTGCAGCGCTCGTCGACGAGATCTTATTTGAACCCTTTAATGCGACTTCTCTGACATATCTGCAAATGGTTTGCGTTCTTAGTATCTGATAATTTTATACTATTCATCACCACTTTTTCCTTGTCGGTATTTACGACCATGTGCGTTTGTGTGGCTTTATTTCACAATTCAACTCTAAGGCTTATCAATAAAAAAGTGTATATTAAACATAAAATCTATCAGCCTGTAATACCCTTTACAGCACTATGGTATTTAAGATATATCGCGTAGAACTAGAAAATTTTAAGAGCTATGCAGGGAAGGTAAGAATAGGACCTTTTAAGGATTTCACGTGTATTGTTGGTCCGAATGGCGCTGGCAAGTCCAATCTTATGGATGCACTTAGTTTTGTCTTGAGTTCGACGAGTCTTGATACGACACATAACAAGCATCGGTTAGATTTCATCAACCACAAATCCAAAAAGGGATGTGTTGTCACTATCGTGCTGCGTCAGACGGAAGAGGCGAATACAAGTGTTGGAAGTCATCAACATCAGCATACACTTGGTTCTGCAATCAGCGAGGTCTCCTTCACGCGCTCAGTTACCAGAGCTGGCATGGAGCGATTTGCTATTAATCACAAGGAAGTATCTGAAGAATGCTTTTCCGAGCAGCTGAAGGCACATCGGGTTGGCTCTCGTGTGAATACTTTTCTGGTTTTTCAGCATGAAGTTGAAACAATTGCGCGTATGAAAGGCAAAGAGCTCACCGAGTTGTTTGACCAAGTGAGTGGAAGTGGTGAGCTCAAACAGGAGTACAACTCCAGAAAAAAAGCCTTGGAGATGGCCAATAATGGCTTATTGAGTGCATCAATTGAAAAACGTGGTGCAATTGTTGCAGCCAACCAGATGCGCATTGCCATGAAGGAGGCCGAGCATTTTGAAGAGCTGCGCCGTTCCTACGAAGAAGGTCGCCGTGATCTAGCACTCACCGAACTTTTTGAGGTGGAGTTAGAGTTGGAGAAGCAAAAGGATGAATTGGACAGGTTCAACAAAACCCTGCTTCAGCTTCAGAAGGGCGTGACGACCGAGAAGGAGCTGCGAGACATGAAGCGTAGATATGCTGAAAAGCACAGAACTTACCTTGAGGAGCTCAGGACCAATCGCAAACTGGCCGACGATCTCCGCACTAGGGCAACCTTGACAGATCGTGCGAAGGCCACACTGACCCATCTCGGTCGAAAATACGAACTGCAAAAGTCTGAGTTGACGTCGTTGCTGAAAGTTGATGCTGTTCACTCAAATGAAATGAAGCGCCTACGGGACGAACTCCAGAGACAGCAGACTGTTCTAGACAATTTTGAGAAAGCTTGTGCCAAGGAGGATGAAGAGAACACTTTAGTGCGGGGCTCCATCAGCGAAGAGCACATGAGTGAATATCGTCGCCTTCGTAAAGAAGCAGATTGTGAAACGGTGACGCTGCGTCAGCATGCAGAGACCGTCAGGAGGCAACATGATTCTATTCGTGAGGCCCTAAGACAATGTCAAATGATGAGGGAAACCTTGGAGCTACAGCGAAAGGACCTCGAACTGAACAAGGAACGTGCAACGGTGACTCGTGGGCAGCTCCAACAGCGCGCGAATGACTTAGCCGAGTCAAACATTACTCTTGAAAAACAGATGGACGAAACCCGTAAAGCCCTGAAGATGACACAAAAAAAGAGTACCGAGCGTGAGATCGAACTTGCGAAGATACAGGAACAATTGCATGAGCTCTATTATATGAAGGACACAAGCAAACACCAACATCGTATGGGCGAGGCTTTACAGGCCTTGCGCTCGCTTTTTCCCATTCGCGGTCGCTTAGTGGATCTTTGCAGCATCCCAAACACGCGATATCGAAATGCCACCACGGTAGCCATGGGAAAAAATTTAGAGGCGGTCATTGTTAACACGTCAGACATTGCCATCTCATGTGTGAGTTATTTGAAGGAGCACCGCATGCCACCCATGACCTTTCTTCCGTTGGACAGTGTTCAGGGCGATGTGGTTGACGACCGACTTCGCACGCTTGGTGGGACTTGTAAGCCTCTCATAGATATTGTACAGTACGAAACTGAGATTGAGCCAGCAGTGCGGTTCGCCCTAGGACAGATCCTTGTATGTGACTCTATGGCGGAGGCAAAGAAGGTAGCATACGGCAGTTCAGACGGCAAGCGCTTTAAAGTCGTTACACTTGACGGCACAATGCTTCTCAAGAATGGTGTGGTACAGGGAGGTCTGGCTGCCATTCAAATGCGCGCCAATAAATGGGATGAAAAGAAGTACTCTGACCTCCGTTCTGCGTACGAGCGACTGCTTAACGGAGCCACGGGTGGAAGCGAGGCAGAACTGGCACGGGCGCATATAGCAATCCGAGACATGGAATCGCGCCTACAGTTTACACAAAAGCGCATTCAGGTTGTAAACGGTGAGAAAGATGCTATCGAAGCCAAGTTGAAGAGCCTAGGGAACGAAATTCAAAAACTATCTGAGACAGCGCAATCGCTTGAAGAGCGTGAAAGATATCTTAAGCAAGAGCTGGAGGGCGTTAGCAAGGAGATGCTAAAAACGTCACAAGCCATTGCTAAAGCAGAGGGTCGTGTTTTTTCAGAATTTCAAAATAAAGCTAATATTCTGACCATTCTACAGTATGAAGACAAACATGCAGAGCTTGAAAAACAACGGGCAGAGTATCGACGGCAGCTGCAGCTCCTTATTCACAAGCTGGAGCAAGCAATTGAGGTGGAGAAGAATCGGTTGAATGATCATTTGCTTGCCAACAAGAAAGAAGCCTGTGAACGACTGGTGAAAGAAATGGCAGAATGTGAAAAGGACTTTACTGCGCACCAAAATGACTTTGCTGCTGCTGAGAAGTTGTATGAGCGTGCTAAGTTGGCAGCACTCAAATCCAGCGAGGACTTAGGGGCGATGGCCAATGAAATTAGGCAGGTTACGGCAAGCTCAGAAACCATGTTAAATCGTCTGGCGCATGCCCGCAAGGGAGCCACTGCGCTGCAAGCGGCGTGTAACACGCTGCGTTTGCGTCGAGTTAACATCATGCAACGCTGTCAAATGGATGGAATAGAACTTCCATTAAAGATGGAGGTTGGCATTGACTTCAAGCGGGCGCGCCCAGAAGACGGTACCCGTGGTGACAGCAAAGGTCGAGTGCAACATCTCATGCAATCAGAATTGTTCACACCACTAACCAGTTCCCCAGGTAACCAAAACTTCAGCAGTACTGGAGATTCCGAAGTCAAGGTATATATCGACTTTAGTGGCCTCTCATCGGCGCTACGTGACATAGCGGCCGATCGATCCAGTTTTTCTTCTTACAAGCAACGCATGGAAGCTTCAATCGAAAAAATATCTATCGAAATGCAGGCTCTTGCACCAAACATAAGAGCCACGTCACTCCATGTGGCATCTGCGGACCGTCTCGGGGCCTCCTCCACGGTTTTGGAAGCAGCACGGGAACAGGTGCGAAAAGCACACGCGGAGTTTTTGCAGGTGAAAGAGATGCGCACCGGAAGATTCATGGAGGCTTTTGGGAAAATTGCTGCCAGTGTTGATCGCATATATCGAGAACTCACACTTGGCACCCAGACTCACGGGGTGCATGGGTCCGCGTATCTAAGCCTTGAAAATGTGGAGGAGCCGTACTTGGGGAGCACAACGTACCATGCCACACCACCGCTGAAGCACTTTATGCCAATGGAGCTTCTCTCCGGTGGAGAGCGCACAATGGCCGCCTTGGCACTGCTCTTTGCAATTCACGACGTTTCAGCGACACCATTTTTTATTCTGGATGAAGTCGATGCGGCTCTTGATGCCGTAAATGTCGAAAAGCTAGCGAACTTTCTGCGCAACAACTGCTTCACCTGCCAGTTTGTGGTAGTATCATTAAAAGATCAGCTGTACCACATGGCTGACTTCCTCATCGGTGTTTTGAAGGACAAAGAAAAGGGAACTTCGAAAGTGTTAACAATGGACTTGGGAGGTTTTCCATATTAATATCACCTGTAATTCGTGAAAGCCACTGTATTAGGGACTGTAGTGGCAATTAACGACAGAGCGTCATTATCTACGAGAGAAGGCTGGATTTGTATAGAAGTATAGAAATCATTTCAATAGAATAATAATAACGGATCAACCATGATTTAAAGGGGTCTGCGTAGCATACAGAACTTAGACAAGAAAATAAGATAAAACAATGCTTTATTTTCTTAGTCTTAGACCACATGATGATAGGGAAGAAGAATGGAGTGAAAGTCAGAAACAGAGACGGTAATAAAAAGCAGGCACATGGTGGAAAAAATGTTTTCCCCCCTTAACAATCATGTACATCTTTTCTTGGTCTGTTTTAGTTTCGGGAGCTTAGATTATTGGAAAGTATATTTTTTTACTCTTCGTGAGTGCCATCACATCGTTCTTTTAATTTTTTTTCCTTTCAGTAATGGGAGGCAACCATTCTAAAAGCTATTGGGAGAAGGACGAGGATGCGCTCAATTGTAATGCATGTGGCGACACCTTTGCACTGACACTACGCAAGCACCACTGTCGAAATTGTGGATACATTTTTTGCAGGAAGTGCTCGCGCGGCCGATGTTCTATTGTCACACGAGGTATGAAGGATCCAGTTCGTGTGTGCGATTCATGCTATCGTGAACTAACAGGGCAAGATAACATTGTACGCGGACCCTCTGTTTTTTCGGCTGACAGTGAAACACCCAGAGTTGTGGACGATTCAGTCACGGCTTCGCTCTGGTTAAAGAACAACGACGACCACGGCAACACAAATGCAAGCCGAGCCGCTGATGGATCAGCAGGGCAACTCACTGGGGATAATATGTGCACTACAAGCGATGCACAACACTATGCTGAAGAGCAGACAGTAGAGGATGAAGTGTATCAGCAAGATCTCTATAGCAACTACAATACTTTCGATTTTCATCATGCCCCTTCTGCTCAGGAGTGGCCCAGTATGTCAAAGACTATGGAGCAGCTTGAGCGTGGGTCCCTAATTCGACGATGGGCTATTGTGCGGCAGGAAACTCATTTTTTGGATGTATCGATGCAGCATGCTGAGCGTGTGGAACCTGAGACTTTAGTAGAGTATAGCCGTGAGACCGAAAATATTACATTGCAGCCAGAAATTCCACTTCCTTCCCTTGCGCGAAGCCTATTACCTTATCCAAAGGCTGCTGAAGAAGGTATTCTTCTTCTTCTGGAACCTGTTAAATCTATGCACATTGTTTTGTCAGTCAGCAATCTCCTGATGAAGGATGTTGCTAACTCACTAGCTCAATGCCTCACTTTCACATACGTTGTCGATAATAACATAAGACCTGTAACAAATGCGGAGTTTTCAGAGAGCTGAATTTGTTTATGGTGTTTGCTTGTGATTTGCTATTCTTGAATGAATTCCTTGAATGACGGGATATTGATTTATGGGCAAACAAGCCTCGTTTTCTTGATAGT